GCTCATCCTTGGAAGTCCTCGTGATGCACAATCCCTTTTGTTTGTTTTTACCAATTTTTCCTACCTTATCTTTGGGAGACAGGACTAGGTAGCTTCAGAGCGCCATGAACTTTACATGCCCAATAAGCTTTCATAATGTCTCTTTGTGTTCGTATTGCTCGCCCATCCTGGGAAGACCTCATGTTGCACCCGTCCCTTTTTGGTTTGTTTCCACCGATTTTTCTTTCGCCCACCCATCTTTGGAAGTCCTTGTGTTGCACCCCTCCCTTTTAGTTTGTTTTTGCCGATTTTTCCTACCATATCCTTGGTAGGCAGGACTTGGTAGCTCCATAGCGCCATGAATTTTACACTCCCAATGACCTTTCATCATGTCTCCTTGTGTTAATATTTCGCTCTCATCCTTGGAAGTCCTCGAGTTGCACCGTCCCATTTATGTGTTTCTACTGATTTTTCATACCTTATCTTTGGCAAGCAGGATATGAAAACTTTAAAGCGCCATTAATTTTGATACTCCCAATAAGCTTTCATAATGTCTCCTTGTGTTGGTATTGTCCACCCATTCTGGGAAGTCCTCGTGTTGTACCCCTCCCTTTTGGTTTGTTTCCGGCGATTTTTCCTATCATATTCTTCGTAGGCAGGACTTGGTAGCTCCATAGCGCCAAGATTTTTACACTTCCAATGACCTTTCATCAAGTCTCCTTGTGTTCATATTTCCCGCTCATCCTTGGAAGTCCTCGAGTTGCACCGTCCCATTTATTTGTTTCTACCGATTTTTTCTACCTTATCATTAGCAAGCAGGACATTGTAGCTTTAAAGCGCCATTAATTTTATACTCCCAATAAGTTTTCATAATATCTCCTTGTGTTCGTATTGCCCGCCCATCCAGGGAAGACCTCATGTTGCATCCCTCCCTTTTTGGTTTGTTTCTACAAATTTTTCCTACCATATTCTTGGTAGGTACGACTTGGTAGCGCCATAGCGCCATGATTTTTACACTCCCAATGACATTTCATCATGTTTCCTTATGTTCGTCTTGTTCGCTCTCCCTTGGAAGTCCTCGTGATGAACCATCCCTTTTGTTTGTTTCTACTGATTTTTCCTACCTTATCATTGGTAGGCAAGACTAGGTAGCTTCAAAGTACCATGAATTTTACACGCCCAATAAGCTTTCAGCATGTCTCCTTATGTTCGTATTGCCCGTCCATCCAGGAAAGACCTCGTGTTGCACACTTGCCTTTTTGGTTTGTTTATGCCAATTTTTCCTACCATATTCTTGGCAGGGAGGAGTTGGTTGATCCATAGCCCATTATTTTTAGACTCCCAATGACCTTCCATCATCTCTCCTTGTGTTCGTATTGCCCGCTCATCCTTGGAAGT